TCTAATACACAGCGATGGTAAAAGGAAAGTGTTGAAATCAAAAGCTGTGCGGCAGGCTGATGAATAAAGGGAAGAGTGTGAACACAGATAACTGGTGAAAGTTGGGCAAGTTGCTGTCTGAGAGACTGTAAGGACACTACGGTTTGAAAACGGACCCTTTATTATGTTTCCTTTTCAAAGCGATTGACATAAACAGGGACATGAGTCCCATGTTGTGTACAGCCTCCATAATGAGTCATTTGTGCAAAATAATTCTTATTGCCTTGTGAAAAACATCGGCTACTCTGAAGTTTTGAGCAGTATATAAAGTATTCTTTATATCTTACTGTGTTTATGAGTTTGTGTTGCCCTTAAAGCTTTGATGAGTGCTGCAGCTGTCTGTGAGTGTCTCTATAACAGTTTAGGTTACAGTGTTAAGCAGCTTAGAGATGCCAAATGGATTAAGTGTTTTGTTCATACATAGTAAAGTAATCTGGTTAGCAAAGATGATACATTCCTCCTCCTCCATCTGCCCACCCTCCTTTCTTTTTCCTCCGTATTTCCACATTTATTTCCTTTTTAAACACACTCATACATCTGCAGAGAGTCTTATAGAAAGTGGTCTGGAGAGGTCAGCTTATATATTTTATGCCCAATCATGATAAAAAAAAAAATCCATTTGCAGCAGGGTAGTGTCTTTTTTTTTTTTTTTTAGCTGCGGTGCTTCTGTGATTGTTTTAATGCAACATTTTTTTCTGCTTATTCAAACTAAACATGAATTGTATAAGTTCAGTATGTCTGTGTATGTGAGAGCAGCACCTGTATGTTCAGGATAAAAACCTTCCTTCTTCTGTCCCTGCAGCTCAGATCACCAAGTATCAAGTAGCCGGGCCCTCGTGGGTCCGGACACAATAAGTGTTTATATCTGCCAGTGTGCGTGTGCATGTTTGCAAGTGTGTCCTTTGCCAGACAGACAGCTCTGCTCTAATATTTTCTTGGGTAATATTACAGACAATGCAGACAGGCGTCTCACTTTCCTTTTGTGTCTTTATTCTCCACTTTCTGTGCTCCTGCTTTGAACTCTGAAATCTCTCCTCTCATCATTTCTCTGGTTTTCTCACATCTTTGTTTTGTTTTTCCATCTTACTACAACAAAGGTAGCGACACGGCCAGAAGCCTTACTGTCCACACACACACACACACACACACACACACACACACACACACACACA